TTTGGGTGATGTAATGTAAGTCGTATTTGCGTGCATATACTAAGGATTGATAAATAAATAAATAAATTCAATTAACTACTTCATGCTAGCACTAGCACGTGGTTCCTGTGCTATTGTTCTATTTGGGACACTTATAACTATGGTAAGTCTGTTTGTTACACAGCTAGAACGTTCAACAATGTTAGTCAGTGAAAGTGAGAAATTTGTGGTTTTGTGAATTTTTTAATCTGCTCTGCTGACTTTCTTAAGTGGTTCTATGACCTGTAATTTTGTATGTGGTTTATCACCTAATGGCATCTCTCAAATACTTTTGAATATTTATTATTTGGTTGTTAAATGTGTATACGAGTAAATAGTTTATATTGCATGTATTGTATATCCATCCCATTCCTACTATAAATACTACTGTACTTATGATACAGCCTGTATTTATGAAGGCCATTTTATTACTACCCTTTAGGAGAAATGTGATGTTTTTAAGTGACAGTGTGAGCAGGCAAATTTTTCCTCCTTTGTGCATCATGAATGCTTATGAAAAGAGCAAAAGACTCAACTGACTAGTTAACTGTTCCTTTACCCATCTCTGAACTCTGTGCTGCTGTTTGGTACTGCTCCAGGAAGTGATGGTTTCCATGCTGTTCCAGTTGAACTTCCCATAGCTTCATTCTGACTTGGTACAGTAACAGCTTGATTATTGGGATGTGTAATTCTGTCTGAAGACATGTTTATATCATTCATATTCCAAAGTCCATTGTTTTCCCATTTCATTCCACTGATCAATATATTTATTATTCTTTGTTGACAAAATTTTTGAGCATGTTGTTAATATGCAACTCAATTTGTCATTATCTAAGTTTTGAATTTGTTTGTTTTATCAAAAGCTACACAATTGACTATCTGCACTCTGTCCACTATGAGGATTCCAACCCCTGGTTTTAGCACTGCAAGTCCATAAACTTCCTGCTGACTCACTAGAGGACCATTATCTAAATTGCCACTGTTTCTAATACTCTGTCCAATAAGTTTTGCTGTAATCTCTTTCTTAATCCTTGAAGCTGCCTTTGACACTGCATAGATTGAAGGCTTGCTTAGAAAACATTATTTTAGTGGTTACAAAGGGGTCATTTTATGCTAGTTGAATAACCTTCCACATAACCTTTCTGTATTATACAGAATATCACCAAATCATCACTTGTTCCACACATGATTGGGCCTTATAGCTTAGCCTGGGTGTATTTAATGTTTGGATTTGAAACATTATTTTGGAAAAGGTGATTTCACAGGCATTTTTGTTGGTGATTATTTTATTTGGCAAAAGGTACAAAATTTCATTATTTGTTCTTCTTATCAAATAGATTTAATCAAGCTGAACAAATAAGCCTCTGACTAGAACTTCTGCAAATACAACATTTGCCAAAAGGAAATTTAACTTGTATCAAGATTGCTTTACAATGTCCCTTATTATTATCCACTTTTTTAATGTAAGCAAGTATATAAACAATAGTACAGAATGTAGTTTTTTATTGAGGCTTATGAACATGTTATCCAACTATTACCAGTCTTTCCAATATAATTAATTAACAGTCCAATACTGACTGTGTGGTTACTAATATTGTCAAGAGTTATTGGGCAATCAAGGTGGGTTTTCCCTTATTTGTTGTTTTCTCTGCAGGTAATACATGCTATTCCCAGGCCAGGAACAAATGTATCAAGTAACGTTACAAAGGTAAATAAAAAACATTCATAATATATTTGACATGAAGATAGACTTGATATTTCTAGGTATGTCAACATTTTATATGTATTTAAAACATCATTTTTTAATTTACAAATGTTCTACTTTCACATTTATCTACTAATGCAAAAGGATTGTATCCAAAGTATCTTTTTATTTGGAGTAATTTTAATTTTTCCATGAATAAAGTTTTTTTCTAGACAAGTAACATTATTGGTGAATTAGAAAATAAAATACTTTATAAAATTCTGAAATTGTCTAAATAGTAAAATTTAGTAAATATGGGATTTTGAAAAAGATGTAATAATTGTATTTACTTTATGTGTCTTCAATAAATGATAATTATGTTAACAACACCATGTGTTTTTCAAAACTAATGTTTGATATCTGTTGCCTGATTTATATGTTGTTTTGCATTAACATTAGGATGATGATATAGAAATTATCATATTGAAAATGATATATTTAAAAAAATACACATTCTAGGGTTAGGGGAGCTAAATTTTACAGGAGTCACAGGAGGTGTTTAACATATTTTCTATCATTATCAGTCAGCATATTTTTATATTAAACTATTGCAAACATAATTTGTTCTGAACAGTTTTCATAAATGTTAACAACATTATCTGTGCTTTATTCAACTCACGAATGTCATTTTATTGAAAGAGAGAGAAAGAAGATCAATAAAAGCAATGGTAGTTTTCAATAAATGTAATTTAGATATACACTATAATTCAATTTTGTAAGACCACCCTATCAACCTAATTAACATGATTCTCAAGGTGCCTCTTGTGAAAGTTTATTCTTCTAAAGCAAATAATATTGAAGACAAAATCGTGTTAATATTACTTTTTTATGACCACTTTTACTCAGCTGTTTGTTCTAGAATTAATTTTTTCTTACATAAATATTATCTTCTAAGGTATTTTTGAAATCAGATCACTTATTTAAATTAAAATTTATTGTTGTAATGCCACATTTTCAGACTAGTAGCTTTTTTGAAAATATTACTTTAAAAAAACGTGAAAATTATTATCATATATTTAAAACAGATACAAATTTAAAGTTCATTTTCTTCTCATAAAAACTGTCTCTCTCATAAGCTACTTGTGTGAGTAGATATTTTTGAGTATAGATTATAGAAAATAGTCTCTTGATAACTTCATAATTTTTTTAAGAAAACCATCTTTTAAAAAAAATTTTGTATCTGATCTCTTTAAAGTAATTTTTATGCACCAATCCTTAATTAAGGGGAGTTGTGATTCTAGGTAATGATAAAATATGAAATTTTTTCTGCACAATACATCTCAACACTAGTGATTTGTCCCTGTAAATTAGCAGCTAATTTCAGATTCAGAAGTGTCTGACAAAGTTCCTACTTGGTTTACAATGACATTACCATACAATGTTACTATAATACAGCTCAAACACATTGAATTACAACAAGGCCTATTCTAAAGTTCAGTTATGAACAAAATGTGTAGTTATCAGAGTAATTGTAAAAAAAGGTTTGTGCAGTATTATTAAAACTAAAAAAATCGGTTGTTTTTTATTTTAAAATTCTAAAGAAAAGTGAACCCCACTGTTCTGTTCTTAAGTAAAGTTTACTATTATGTATACTGCTTGTGCTTCTCGTTTTTGTTTTTTTAATTTTGTGTTACCTTGTGGTGAGATATTAGCTTTTTACCATATATTACACTTGATGTTTGGGTACACAGTACCCAAAATGCTCTACTGCTTTATTAAACAGTGCCTATACACGACTGTTACATTTTACCAATGTGCGGATTGGGTGACAGTTTTAAAATCTGAGTGAACATAAGTGAGAAACAATGAGATTTATCAGAATATTTTACAAAATTATTAGCAAGTAAGGGGAATGGGCCAATTTGATCAAGTATCATCGTGTCTCCATTTGTGTAGCTAACAAAAAACAAATTTAGAATAGGTCATAGCTTGCAGTCATTTTGGTGGATTACAGAGGGTGCAGTATTTTGGAACCTCACCATGTTATAGTTTTTGATGCCACATGTGCTCATACTCCATCTGATAATTACACATTGACAACAGCCCTGCAGCACAGTTTCCACTATAAGATTATAATGTCCATAACACATTACTCCTCCCTGCAGGCTTTTCATAAATAATCTAGTATATGAAGGTGATGGTTTCCCAGTACCAACTTAACAGTTCAATCTTGCAGAAATCCAGCAGCAATTTGACAAGTATGTCTTCATACTTGTATAGCATGAATATCTGTTTCTTGAAGTATGCAACACTTGAATGGAAGGTATGATTGAAATTAAGCCTTATCTTGATGAACCCAAAACCCTACTAACCTAATTTCCAAATGGAGATCATACCTGATTACATAGGCTACTTTTGCCTGGGACATGTGGATGGCATTTGCCTCTGATCTTTCTGTTCATGGATTTTCACATGTTACAAGCTACCACACTTTGCTTAACATGGTTATGGTATGATTTGTTGTAGGTCTCTTTCTGGATGATTCTGTTGCCCAATATTCCCTTATTTTCCAATGCCACTAAATATAAGGGATATCCTTTTCTTGGAAATTCTAAATCCCCAATTTGAACACATCTTTGTGATCTGAATGTAAAATATTTTTGTTGGAAATGGTTGTTATATACCCTTTCCAAAACTGATAAATTTCCAGTGTTATCACACTACTTATGAAGTGCCAAAAAATGCTAAAACATAGCACTGTGACTTTATATTGGCTATGTCTGTCATATGACTTGCTGATTTGCATATTCAAAATCATTTAATATCATGTACCCAACCTGTATAATGACTTGCCCACACTATATGATACATTTAAAGTGATTTGTGTAAGATCAAATTTTGAAGATGTGATTTATAATGACTGTTAATGTAATTTCTCCTGTAGATTAAAATTATATCATGATAGTTACGATTTTTCCAGAAAATCTACTGCTCATAAATACACAGAATAATTAGTTATCAGATATAAATTATTCATATTTCAAAAAATTCCTTATATCATTTGGTCATCATCATTTTAAACTGAAAACAATAATTTTTGCTTTAAAAATTGGTAAAACATTTTGGTTTCCAGACAAGTGTTTTGAATCCAGACTTGCTTATGCTAGTGCAAGGATATAACTTACCAACTTATATGAGAAAGAGCTAACTACATCTACTCTCATTGAAAGCAAGAAATGTTTGGTGTTACTTAGCCTTTTACTATCATTGATCAAAGAAAGTTGTCAACTGATCTTGATAATAGGGTATAAATGTATCTTTATTTCCAATATACGGACATTCTAGTAATACAGCTTGGTGTGTGGGTAACTGTTAATTCTACAAGGCTTACTACATTCACCAGGAAAAAAAAAACTTATTCTAATGCCTTGTGACCTGAAAAAGAAAACAGTTACTATATGAACCAAGGTTTAGCTGACTGATTCAAAACTACTGTCATCTTGCAACAAGAAACATTGCAGTACCTCTAGTCTTAGAATTGCTATGCTAGTGAGTAGTTCTCATGTATTCAGAAAAGCTTAGTTACTTTTGTTGAGTGCCACAGTATGAAATCTTGAGGACCTTGGAAGTATTCTCTACCAAATAATTTACTTTCTCTTCCCTATTAATAATAATAATATAACAATAGATTCTTCAGCAATTTACACCTACTTGTAGTTCTAAAATATGTGGAAGCAGCAAGGTCCAGTACTGGAAGGATTTGTTTAGATATTTATTTCAAATGCACGTAACTTATTAATTTTATTAAACATCCATATTTATAATTTAAATTCTTCAATATGTCATTTCAACATGATATTTTAACAGAGAGATCCATTAACGAAACAAATGGGCGAATGAATAGTTTATGATACCTTATACCCATTTATGCCACTTTTTGACATACCTGATTTATTTCTGTTTGTTAGAAAAATACAATATATTTTACTTATTTGTTTCCTAATACACAATAAAGTTAGAACAGAGTTTGGAAAAATAACAACCAATCTAAATTCATTATACAAGAATTTGATTTTACAAAATACTTATATAAAAAAAACATAACACATTTATTTGATTCTTTCATGCTATATTCGAATTATTTCATGTATATTTAACCTATTATTTTACACAGAAGGGCACCACTATGATTAGCAAGACTTTAGTAGTCAAACTTCCAGTAACAAGAATTTTTAATTAAAGTCCAGACATTGCTACTTACACAAGACTGCAGGTACCACAATTTAACAATATTGTATTGGCAGTAATACCAACTGTTAGAAAACTTTGAATCAATACCACACATTATATTAACAGAAATTATTAAACTGAAATGTTAAATCTTTCTTTCTTCACAAATACCTTTCCAAAAGCAGAGAGAGCACAATTAGCAATCATTGAACAGTGAATTAGTTTAAATTCAATACAAAACTTTTGTGATCAAAAAATCTGTATAAGTTTTGAAATACTGAAACTCCAAACAGTATTAAATGTTTTTTTCCACAGAAGTCAAGACAACAATGATATGCATACAATGAACCAATGATGAATAATGAATTTAAAGTTCCTTATGATAAGAGATCAAGATAATAAAAGTGTACAGACAATCCTGGGTTTTAACTACTGAAAAAAAAAGGAACTTCTATCAACATAAGTCTGGCAAATTGTTTTTTCTTACACAGTACAATCACTTTATTGACATTAGATACTATGGACTGGAACTCTATGGAACATCAATCAAATAATTACCTAACAACCTTCTCAGTTTGGCTAGTTTTCTGTCTCAATTATACAACAGATCAGTTAACTACACACCCTGAATAACAATCAGTGAACTAATTAATTAGCATGATTGGTTAATTACCTAACCAACAGCCTAAACAATCAGGTTAAGTTGATTTATCAAGCAGTTAACAAATCAATTAACACAATTATCAAGTACAAGATAGAAATCAGCATACTAACCAACTATATTCTTGTAGATTTGCCAATTATCTGACCACTAAATGATCAAAGTTTGGTAAATATGATATAAATCTGATTTAGACAAGTTCTGTAGCAACAACTCATGACTATTCAGAGAAATTCGACTACTATAATCCTAAAATATGCTTTATTAATTCAAGGTAAAGGGTATGAGTATAAAACATACTTCCTATTACCCCAAACCCACATAATCCAGTTTAGCAGACAGCAAAGGGTTTACCTATGTACTTGGAAATGGATCAAAAAGACCTATTAGTAAGACGTTCTTTTGTCAACATCAGCGAGAGATCACAAAGATCATGCTGGAATGTTGTTTATAAAGGTTTTTTACATACATCTATTCATGCAGATAGAAATAACTTTTTTTTATAAAGAATATTGACACTCCAGAAGTTTGTTGATTATCTACTCTTGGTCATTTGTTTTGTTACTTACAAGAACAAAGAACTAGCAAAGTATTAAATGTTAAAAAAATTATGATCTGTATGCTGAATTACACATAATAATTTTCTTTACATATTTATTAGCTATGTATGCAAAACAGGAGGAAACATGTTACTCTTTATCCAAACTATTCTTGTAATATTAACAACCATCACAAACTAAAATTCAATAAACAAATTATCATATGAAAAACAAAACATAATGTCTCAAATGTATGTTGTATACCATTAGTGATGATACATCAACAATGCAATGAATGCAGTGCCTTTAAGGCTTCTGAAATAATAACAATACATTTAGCTTATCCATTCTTTTTTGGACAAAATATGCAAAACAATAAACCAAGAAGGTACATTCCAAGTTGATATGGGCAGAATATGTCTGTTAAAACAGGAAGCATGAATGGGACCAATCACAGAATTTGACAATAAAGTAGTTTCAAATTAGGCATTTGCACAGCTAGTAAAAGACAGACCTTTCTCCTGTGATGAAGATTGTCTGGTACTTACAGAGAATAAGACTCATGTATGATAAAAAGTTTTAAGCTCGATAAAAATACATTATATAAACACATCTGAATCTCCTTGAACCTGCTTGTGACCTAGCTATATTGTTAAAAATAAAGCAGTTAAGAATGTTGATCTTAAAGCTGTTATATAATTATGCAATATAACAAGAGTTATTGAGAAAAATCTAATAGAATTCATATTTTACAGCCCAGAAACTTATTAAGCCTAACGTAAAGCCTCCTTTCACACTTTTCAATACATTAGAAACCCTACAATTGGATGTATTATATTACCTAATCTCTTCTCTAGCTGTATTTGAACAGCACTTAAGACTTTATGATGGGCTTGTATATAATTATAGATAACAGTAGCATATACATTATATAATACATTTTAATAATTCATTACCTAGTACTCAGAATAGACTATAACAGCTCAATCTAAGTATGGGGCAATGAGATTTACATCAGTTATTTTTGCATGAAGGTTATATTTCTATAAAACCAACACCATCAACAATAGTAGACAAGAAACACTACAACCACTTTAAATTATTTTATTCAATTTGTCATTAGCATTTATAAAGATATGATTGCAATAGTAAAACAACTTTGCATACAAAAAACAACATTATTAAAAATATCCTCTCCATTTTTTTTTTTTCTCAAAAGCCTTTCCTTTTAGAAGATGCAATCTTAAAATTGCCCAAAGGTTTTTTGGGAAACATATGACTTGGTATTACGAGAATCCTTAAAGTGTACCTCTCATAAGACTGGTAACGTCAAGACCCTTTAAACTAATGCATTCCATGTATAACATTTGGTAATAATTTTTTTTGTAAAAAGAAATATACTAAAAAAAAACAAATCTAGAAACATGACAATCAGCATTGGATATGATAATCACATTTCTCATGACTTGCATAGCCTAAGATATATATTCAATTTTTTTTCCTAATTCATTAAAAGAAAAGATTTTTATATCATTGGTTATTCAGAATATATAGACATAAATATAAAAAATTATAACGGGTTTACTTGCAAGAGTATATTGTTCTAATCATCCAGGGAGCTGCACTAAAAATGGCACACAAGAGTTTCCACATATTATGAACATATTCTTAGATTCTGCTTTGCTTTTCCTTTAGTGACTAGATCATTTGCAGTGGCTCCAAGTCTTCTTGTGGTTCGTTGATGCCATGCAGATATAGTGACACTTCAGACTGCTAAGCTTATTGTTATTCCTAATCTAACTTGACTTAATTTATAGCAAGTCCATTTTACCTTAATGTTACTTCAATGCTTAAGACTTCCAACATAGGTGGAAGATTCAGTGATGCCCCCTGGACAAAGAACACCACAACAGGTGAGGGAAACTGCCCTGTACATATGATTTGTGACAAAAAAAACATCTGAAAGAACTATGATATCAAGCCCATATGGTAGGGTTCTTCTTTCTCCCTGTTCACAGGCAGACTCTTTACTTAATTGAAGGTCCAAAATTGTCTTTAAATATATCTACAAGAAAAATACAAAAATGAAGTTGAATTAAATCTTTTGTTTTTAAATGTCAGTTATCACTAACCTTACAGTATTTTCATTCTCTAAATTTATTATAAATGGCTGGTCTTACAGAAAAAAAAAAACAAAAAAAAACTCATATTTTCTTGGTACAAAATTTGTTATATACTTTTTAATTAAGTGTGTTTTCAATGCTAAATAATTGTGGTAGTCTGTTCTGTGTGTTCTTAAGTATTGACACTGTCTTCTTATTTTATTGCTAAGGTGTTAAAGAAGGAAAATCAGAAATATAATAAAATATGTGTTACTCCACAATTTTTAAGAATAAGGATTTTTCTCAAGATCACGACAGCTGCAATTGCTAATTTTCCTTTTTATTTGTATACAAAGCAGTTAATATGTTGTCTCATATTTAGCTTTTGCCTGACTGGATGTGTACTCTTAAGAATGATTTGACAACTGCCAGAAGGATATGTCACTTGATAAAAGAATAGTTGTACTGAAAGGGTTTAGCCTTCTTGTAATTACAAATATTTTTACAGAATTCTACCATTTTTTTTATATATACTATTTTAAGGTTGTAAAATACTTGATTGTTTGTTTGAGAGATAAATATGGACTATATACACTAGCCATCACTAAATTGGAAAAGTTAGACTAGAGGGAGGCAACTAGTACACAGCACCACCATTTTACAGCAACTGGACAGAAGACATTGACCCTCATATTCACGGTCCAGCATACTAACCACTAGGCCATGTCCAGCCTAAGTCATAAAGGAAGAGGCAATTTTAAAATGGCTTACTAACCAAAGTTTATTCATTATCTAAATGTTTTTCTGTGAAGATTTATTTTGCCAGTTATAGAAAAATATACTAGGTTTGGGGGGATCATTAAATCTTGAAAAACACATATTACAAAGTATTCTAATTAAACATATACAGATTTTGTGTATTATAAATATATATCCATGTATATTATTTCTAATACAATATTTTTCTCTGTTTCGATCATTCAAAAAGTGGTCAAAAGTACAAATATACTTACCTGCATGAGCTCTGCTTTCAGCTTGACCAAATTTCCTAAAATCTTGGCACAACTGTGGGATGTCCAGCAACTGAGGAAGTAAATATAATTTTTCAAAATACCAAGGAAGATATGAAAACTACATCAATGTTCTAATAAATATCTAACAGTTACTTTCTGCTAAATCTCTTCTTCAGTTTACACTTTTATAAGAGGTTAGCTCTTTTAAGGTCTGGTAAAATGTTACCCAGAGCCTTTGTAACCTAAATACTTATACAAAAAAAAACAAGGTTATTTTATGTCAAATATTTTAAAAAATAAATCTTTGAAAAACTATAGCATGAAAGTGTCAAAAGTAGTAGTGTTTAAAATCCTCTCAAAGCTTACATGAAACAGGCACAAATGGCTGCATGGCTAATGCTTGTTGGTATGCTGCAGTAGCACTAGGCTGAAAAACTGGGACTCCACTTTTGTCCATAGCTGGACGCTTTGTGTAGGGGACCATTCCTGGGAATGCCTGAAAAGGTGGCACATTACCATTTAATTAAAACTATTATATGATGATATAATTCTAGAACTTGCATAAATCTGATGTAATCAGGTTTTACTAAGTACATGAAAAAAAAAGTAATAGTAAAATTGACCACAGTATCAGCCTGAATGTTCATAACCTATGCAATGTCTACAGATTGTGTGTAAATTTTAATAATATTTTAAGAGTTCAGATAAGTGTACATTATTTTAGCTTATGCCTCAAGCTAAAAATCAAATCAGCATTTCTATAAAATCTGGCTTACATAGTTACATTTGCATTCATAATGTATTGAACCTCCTGTATCTAGAACATCTCTTTTTATAGTACAATAAATTCAGAGAAATACATTTTAATAAATCTTATCAGTTTCATAGAATTAATATAAGCTCTAATGCATATTATTTACATTACATTAAATTGTGTGCTGTTTATAGATAAATTTATAAACCTAGTAGCTTATGATACTACATAGGATCAACTGTTTGTAAAATAAATAATTTGGTGGTTGAATGTTAATTTAATATATTTTGCTAAATGCTGTAAAAATATTTGTTTCCATTCAACAAATATTTTTAGAATACAATATAACAAAACAAAAAGAAATTTTTTTCATGTATGTACATATGCAATATCATATTAAACTTCAACTTCTCAACACTTATTATTTACATTAATAAGAACACCTGTATTTTTATTGAAGCACCATAATCACAATGAAAGCTAATATTAGCATTTGGGAAATATTTCTACATCTCATTTCCTTTATTAAACATGATAAAATATGTATATCTAAATGTTAAAACAATTTTTTCTCTTCAATAAGAATCATGCAATTACAAGATTTTTAGTCACAAGTTCATACAAACCAGCTTGATTAACCATAATGCTAATTAAACTGTAACTAAAATTGAAAATTTACATACCGTATGAAATCTTAATTATTTGAAGTAAATTCTTTAGAGAAGGTTAAGAGTTTAAATATAATTGTATATAATTAATATTTTTCATTTGGATTAATAACAATAGACTTAAAAAGCTTAAAGTTTGGTATTTTGCAACTTTTGAGTTATTTAGTTCTAAAGAATAGTTAAAATGACCAAGCTGCAACTCTAAAAAAAAGGGACTAGGATGTACATGCCTAAACTGATCAATCAAATTCTTTCAGAATTACTTTAAAATATAAAAATTAACACAAGATCCTCTCTATCTCCATCTTCAACTTGACATAGCAACTGCAGTAACTGTGAATACATTCTCCATTCTATGCTTGTAAAGCTACAGCTGTACACATCTTTCTCTAATGTAACTCAACAGGTGGTACAAATGTTCATAAATTCACCACTCCTCAACTAGCTGTACACATTTTTCTTCCACATGACTCAGCATCAGATGCAACGTTTCATAAATTTTTCCATTTCCCAGCTAAGGAGATAGGTGTGAAAATGTCATCACTGTCTCTAAATTCTTACAGAAAATGAATTCAATTGTGGATGATCTCTTCATTCTATAGTTATACAAATATGATTTCAACTTTTTTAAAATTTTTTGCTAAATAATGAAACCATGGAAGCTGTTGTAATGGTCAGGATGGAGAATAGTCTGTTTGGGTCTTGAGTCCTAATATCAATCTAAGAACAATAGAATGAACGAAGGGTCCTAGGTTTAAGCTCCAGACAGGGAATATTTTTAAACATTCTTGACATATTATATTATGTGATCAATAATAATGAATAAAATATGGTCAAATGTTGATAGCAGTCAGTCCTGCAAGGCCTCTACAAGTGAGTCAATATTTTAGAAAAGAAACATATGACATTATTTTCATATCACGTGTGTGTGTGTGTGGTGCCATGTCATAGCATGACATTTGAACAAATTCCTGGTTTTCTTTCATCTTAGGACCAATTTATTTAGTTTTTTTTATTGTATGGCAGTTTATACAGTATTTAATTATCCTATTCCACTTCAGATCTGGAAAGATTTTTCCTTATCTCAAATGCTCATTCTCACATTTCATCTAGTTAGTGACATTTCTTCGCTTAGAGAAAAACTCAAACTCTCACACTTTTCCCATAATACAGAAGATTAGTCCCACTTTATATAAAAATGCTACATATATTACAGCAATGGCTTGTTATAACACTTATATATTCAGTTTGTCATAAATCCCTGACCATTAAATGATGCATTGACACCATCAGCAGCCTTAGGGGCTGAAAGAACATAAAAAGCCTTCTGCAAAATAAGATGTTTATAGAATGAAATTTTCAAACAACATAAAACCAAAAAACACAACATTTAAAGCAAGAAAACTCACACAGGAGAACGTTCAAAGGAGCAACAGGCTCTGAAACCAATCCCAAATCAATCACAGGCAATACTCTCACCTAAATATAACATAATGTTTTGGGACAACAAGGGACCCATTGGTCCTTCTTGGTTATCCCATCCTCTAAACTAAACTAAAACTAACAAATAAATAAAATAAGATAACAATCTTAAAGCAAGCCCTTATTATTTATATAATTATCAAGCTTTCTCTTAAACTACTTAATTTTACTGCCTCCACAACATCCAGAGGCAACCCATTCCAGAAGCCAACAACCCTGTTAGAAAAATAAAACTGTTTTAGCTGAAGATGACTCTTACCTTGCCAAAATATATACTTATGTCCCATAGTCCTAACATTCTTGCCATTAAGTATGAAAAAAAAAAAGATGCTTTAACACTATCAATTTCCTTTACAATTTTGTATACTTCAATCAGATCCCTGCTAACTCTTCTTTTTTCAAGAAAAAAGTTTCAGAGATCTTAATCTCTTCTCATTCATGATAACCCCCTCCATCCCAGGCACTATTCTAGTAAATCTTCTTTGAACCCTGTTGAAAAATTCAATGTCCTTCCTAAGGTAAATAGCCCTTTTTAAACTTTTTTAGTTCATTTTAAACCCAGCCCTTTTCATTCATATACTTATTAAGCTTTTTCTTAAACACACTTAAATTT